CATTGGAGAGTTGGATAGTGAATAGGGGTGACAGAAAGATAATTGATGCCTTTGAGCTGTAGTGCTGGAGAAGAGTGTTGAATGCTATGAGAACTGCTAGGAGAACAGGTTTGTCCTGGAGAGGGTGAAGCCAGAATGCTCCTTGGAGTCAAGGATTCTGAAGCTTCATCTGACATACTTTGGGCATGTTGCAAAGAGGACTGGTCCTTGGAGAGGGACATCATGCTTGAAAGAGTGGAGGGACAGTGCAAAAGAGGAAGACCCTGGATGAGATGTATTGACTCAGTGACTGAGGGGTTGGTATGTCAGAGACAATAAGGTTGAATCAGGATAGAGCAGAGTTCAGAGCTCTTGTACACAGGGTCACTATGAGACACAAGTGACTCGATGGCACACAATAATAGTAATATACTGATAATGAATAGTACTGAAAACTTAATTTCTATTAATCAAGAAATTACCTTAAGAATTAAGGTGATACACACACACACACACACAAATAACATTCTTCAATACAAGTATCTGAAGAATGCATACACCACAGACATCCAACAGTCTTTCAGTCACTTAGTCATTGTCTTGGAGTCAGAATCTACTCATAGTCAATCTTCCAGTGAGTTTTTCAGAGGCTATAAATCTCATAAGAGATTTATAAGAGGAAATGGAATGTCTTTCCCCTGTGGAGCAGCTGGTGGATTCGAACTTGCTGCCTTTGGGTTGACAGGGCAATCTCTTGAATTTTCAATATTACCTTTCTCTACTATGAACCTAACCTACAGGAACAAATAATTTTGGAGGAAAATATCACACAATAAAGATGTTTGGGTTAATCCTTTACTTCGATCCCATATTATTAATAAGAAAATTCCCCTGATGGCCATCATGTTGGGTGTTATTTTGATTGAATTGTAGAGAAGAAAATGTGTATGAATGAGTGAAAGAAAAATTAACCTCTTTGTGAAGTTTCACTAAAATACAAATTAAATAAAAATTAAAAGAAGGGAAAATTCTTAACCTTTAAATAAATCTTGGCATAATGTACTATTGACATCATATTTGAGATAATTGCTACTTTTTGTATTTTTTATCATCTTTTAAGACTCTGATGATTTTCATAAAAGTATTAACTTATATCATTCCTTTTCAAATTTTAAAACAAATAAATGTATCAAAGATCTTAAAGATTATAAATGCTCAAAACATTGCCATCAATCAACACCTGTATTTTGAGGTGCAGATCATAAAGTAGGATCTGTCTTTTTTCCTCCCTTCCTCTAGCACAGCTCTGTGCTAGAATCCCATTTTAATGATACTACTTAATAATGTTATTGATGCATGTTAGTGCTGATGGAGTTAGTAGTACACATAGAAAGAGAGAAATTACACCATCTCTAGTACCAGTTGTTCTTTTTGTTATAAGTAGTGCAGTCATCTAAATCTTATGATACACTAAGATATTCTAATGAACTAAGACATCCTGATAAATAATTTCTCAATCTGGTAACAATGTGACTATTCAAAAGGATCTATTGACTTTTAAATGGTACCAGTAAGTGAGCATTTAATTCATTTTTTAATAGAAGCAATATCATATCCATGTTTTGAGCAGAAAACATGAGCTTGGAGTATCACAACCTGGGGAAAATTCAGCCCACATGCTAAGAACACCTCCCCTTTCTTCACCCTCCCCAATATCACTTTCATGTGTTACTGAACTGTTTTTATATTTCACAATTACATTCCCAGAATGTTATCTGACTTTGTAATTAGCCAGCTGAACTGCCACAGGTGTTTGTTTGGGGTGGCCTTTCTGATGGCCCTGCAGTTTGTTGGAACTTTCTGTACAGAGAAGTAAAGCACCATATCATGTTCTCAGTAAGATGCAATGTCACCATCCTTCTCCAAGTCAGCATGCAGTCAGAGCCAAAACCTGTAAAACAAACTCACTCAGCCAGCAAACTTTTACACACAGGGATAAGACTAATCTTCTTGTTCTACAGTCAGTTGCTGCTCTATGTGCATTCTCTTTGTAGGAAAACATAAGCAAAAGGGGGGGGGGAAGGAGGAAGGAAAATATCAAAGAGAAGTAATAAAAAGTAATGAAAGATTATGCTTCAGATGGCAGGCTTTATAAACAGTTTTGCAATTTCTCTTTAGCACTTTTACTTTAGATGTTAGCCATAAATTTTCAGATGCTATTTATTCCTTGGGTAACACAGCTAATTAAATCCATTCTGCCAATCCAATGGTTGAACTTAATTGAAATAACGATTTGCTGCCCTCCTAAGCACAAAATTATATTGGTGAGGAAGATTTAGTGATTGTTTAACTCTTAAGCTATCTTTCCTTAGGGAAATGCTTTCTATTTTCAGGGCCTCAATTTATTTGTTTGACATAGGTAATCACTGGAGTCCTTCTAGCTCCACCAGCTATGAATTTTCTTCAGCAAATTAGGAAAGAAATTTTACATTCGCAAGACAAGTCTTTGCTTATATTATTCGTTATCATCCCTCAAGAATGATGATTGTGTTTTAATCTTTGATGTGAATGTTTGCATCAGTTTACATAAAGCAAATGTTTGTATAAACAAGTTCTAGTGAGTCTCTTAATTTTGTGTTTAATGTTAGCCTTTCTCCCGATAGATGGCACTCTTTTCTCAGAGACACTATATTCCTCCTCAAAAGATCAAGGAAATTAGTTTTACTCTTTAACAATCATTAATTACAGAAATCACACAAGTAGAAAGAATAGATTACAAGCAATTTGCACCATCTTAGTAACAGGGGCACAATGGGGAGAATGGTTGGGAGAAGATTAAGAAGATTCATTGAAGTCTCTAATACTTACTGAAAAAGTGAATCAAATATTATAACTAATATGAAAATGCCACATTCACTACAGACATATACCCCAAGTGGGAAGAAAACCTCAACAAGGAGCCATTTTAAAGTGGCATGATATCTATCTTTCAAAACTTAACAAGCAATTTTAATTCTACAACTGTAATATTTTCATACTCACATTTAGGATTTGAATACATACACCATTACCAGCACAATATACATCAATCTCTATTAAGATTTGGTATACTTTTTGCCAAACAAATCTGAAGAATAAGGATAAATAGAAAGTGAATTACAAAGTCTTTTGAAAGAATACACTGAATCAAGACCCTGTAAAAATATTTTTTTTGCCTGAGTACCCAGTACAAAGTCCTATATAATAGTTTATACTGCAGGATAATGCTACTTTAAATCACAAACTGATTCCAATTTTGAGAGGTGCTGGACAACCACAGTCATGTCTAGGCAGGTCTTCAGAACCATCCTCTGTATTCCAGAGTCCAGCTGCCCCTCCTGTAACACATCTGCAATTGCACCAACTGCAAATTGGTCTAAGCAACATTCTGTCATGTTTGATACAGCAGGGCACCACAGGACTGACACTGGGAGCCAACTCCTCTACCATGTGGTCTCAGAAAGCAAAAGGTGAGGTTAAATCTGTTCTAACAGAAGGCAAGGAGCAGGGTGGTAGCATAGAAAAACACTCTAAAGCCAGCAGCCCAAGAAAAGTTGTCAAGGACTGTCTGTTAAGAGAACTGAGATCACGGGAAATCAACCAGAACTCCTTTTCTATCATTCTGTAATCACCACTTCTCCATTTCCTGCCATACACAATAGGGTTGCCTGCCACAGAACATTCCTGCCTAGTGTGAACAGGAGTTGTAAAGCAAAACATTCGCTTTTATTTTGTCACAACAGTGTGGCTTTTAAACAACCAAAGCAACTTCTCTGTTTCTGAGATGCTTTATTAATGGGGAGAAAAATAGAGAAGTCCAGTTTCTCCATCTCACATTCTCTCTTTTCTACCACCCCTCTATCAATCTCCCACCAAACACTCAGACCCTCCACACCCCTAAGGTCTCTGAGGGCTCCTCTGGAACCCTGCCACCTTCCTTACCTGACAATGACATACATGACCAAGAAGTTTCCGAAGAGACCCAGCACACAGACTATGGAGTAGAGGGCCATGATGGTGATGGCTGTGATCATTGAAGGGCTGCCGGCCGGAGGGCACAGGCCGTCGCTCCCGCCCAGCTCGGTGCGGTTCGGACCGCACGGGTCGGACTGGTTGTCATCTAAGTGGGATAAGTTAACCCAGGACCTGGGACTGGAAGCTGGAGAGCAGCCTGCAGCTCGCAGAAACGGATCCGAGCAATTGCTGGCATTCACCGGGCCGGTGCTGCTGTCCATGGTGCTGATCGCCAGCTGGGAACCCGGTTGTGTGTGAGCCTCTTTCTTGGGTACTTTTTCCAGGTTCCACGCGCTTTGGCAGCTTCCTCCCTCTGCGGTCACAGCTCCTGTTTCTTTACAGAGCACAGCCCAGAAGGAGTCAGGCGAGAGCGTCAGGCAGAAAGGGAATATTGAGCTTCTGGCATTATCTTCTGCTTAGAACCCCCATCCCAGTTTAGTAGTAAAGGAGGCACAACCCCAACCCTACACCACTGGGGGAGGGGAAGGAGGGCTGAGAGGGATCCGAGCTGGAGGGGAGGGAGGAGAGAGAAGGGATGGATTTTGCGCAAAGCAGTCTAAGCAAGGAGTAGTTCTTACTTGGTCTCTGCAAGCAAGTCTGAGGAGGGACAGAGACAGAGGACAAGTAGAGGAAGGAGTGGGGAGGGACTCAGAGTTAGTTTTCGACAGAGGTAAGGCAAAAGGAAAAGGCTGACATCATTGCCTTTCTCAGCGCCTTTTCCTCTTCATAAGGACCCTGGTGGCTCGGTGGTTAAAGTATTTAGCTGCTGTCAGAAGGATCCCGGGTTCAAATGAACCAGAAGGTTGGTGATAGAGAGATGTGGCAAATTGCTTAAAGATTTCAGCCTTGTAGATGCTCTGTTTGTCTGTAATGGTCCCTCTGCCTCAAAGTCCTCTCTAGAGAAACTAGTGTTTTGGCTTTTTCATTCTCTTCTTTCCAGTTGGACAAGAACGCTTGTTGTCATTCACATCTTTACACCCAAAGTTGTTTCCTCTCTGTCTCCTGGTGATTGCCCGAAATTCCCTTCTGTAGCCTTCTTCTCCACAGTCCTATATGTTGGAAAGTGTCACCACGTTTTTTTGTATTACTAAATGAGTATTTCCAGCGCACCAAACTTACCTGAATCAATAGTGATCTTTACTCTGAATGAAAAAAGGAGAGAAACTTCTAAACTTTTAGAGAAATAGCCTGTTCTCTTTACTCTCCAACTCCCTCAATTTCTCCCAAAGTAGAAGTTGTCTTTGCATCTAATTTCTTTCCTGGCAGGGAAAAACAGATAGTTAAAATAACCAGGGAGATATGACATCTAGCAAAATCAACTGAACGTCACATCTCAAAATCTGTAGACAATTTTATGGCAATTTAATTTTCCAGGCTTCGTGCACGGACAAGTGCTTCTGAGAAAAAGACTACCAAAACAAAATAAAATGTTTATTACTGCTTTCTGCCATCTAAGGTTGAAACCCCAGGAGGATCTACAAAGAAATCTGGAACTAAAATGACACAGAAGCCAGCTTCTTGAGGAACATGGCTAAGTTAAAAATCTTATACCTTTTATTAAGTAAATAAATGTGTCTGCTTTAGCAAGAAATGTTTAAATCCCCCAAGCATCTGTTGCTGCATTTTGTTGTTGTTGTTGAAAGTATCACTCAGTATGAAATTGGGAGCTTTGGTGTTCTAATGAGTAGAGGATTGCTCTGACAACCCTAAATTAGGTTGTACTGTGGTTAGAAGATGGGAAATCTCTTCCCATGGAATGAGATTTTTTACAGCCTCTGAAAACCTGCTGGAGAGTCAGCTATGAGTCATTTATGATGGTTCAACGACAATGAGTTGAATTGAGATTTTGGGAATTGTCTCCATTTCTGTATTTATGTATGGCCTAGTGGCAAGGAGCTGCACTGTAAACTCAAAGGCACACAGTTCAAATCCACTGGTTGCTTCCCAGGAGAAAGATGGACAATCTCATCCTGTGCAATTAACTGCCTCTGAAAACCAGCCAGACAGTCAACTATGGGTCAGTTCTGTCTAGATGGGACACAAAAAACAATGTACACATGTAGGGAGCAATGGTAGCCTAGTAATAAGAAGCTGTGCTACAATCCTGAAGTTGTATAGTTCAAATCCAACAGCTGCTCAGAGAGATCAAGCTGAACTATCTCCTCTTGTGCTTTTAACTGCCTCTGAACATGTCAGAGTGTTAGCTATGGGTTGATTCCAACTCGATGGCACATAACACAGCAGTATATACATATGTCTTTGAACAATAAGAAAAAAGTAGAATCTCCAATCAGTTTTATTCACAGCACTCTTTGGTAGCAGGCACAGAGGAGAACTTAGAAAGAACCTTTAATTTATATAATAATATTTGCAATCATTGAAAACATGTAACTCCTAGGCAAGCTACTAATCACATGTTATTTTGCCAATGCTCAGTATATTTTTAGGATTGATAATGACTAAGGATGACAGAAGAAGAATTGATGCCTTTGCATTGTGGTGCTGGAGAAGAGTCTTGAACATACAATGGACCACCGAGAAAACCAAAACAAATCATCTGGAGAAGATGAAACCAAGTTTCTCCTTGGAGGCTAGGATTTTGAAGATCTGTCTCATATACTTAGGGTATGTGGCCAGAAGACTCTGGTCCTTAGAGAAGGATATGCTTGGAAGGGTGGAGGGAGAGGAAGGGTGCATGAGAGGAAGACCCTGAAAGAGACGGATTGATACAATAACAGGGGTGATGGGGATAGGTATGTCAGAGTCGGTGAGACTGACTTAGGATAGGGAAGGTTTTAGGGCTGCCGTATATAGGGTCATTATGAGTTTCAGACAACTTGATGGCACATAACAACAACTACATATTTTTACCCTTTTAAATTACGGGGTATCATTTCAACAATAAAATGTTATAGAATCATCTTGATTCTTCTAATAAAGATACCATGACATATATTCTTCCATGAACTAAAATCTGCCATTCATTCAGTCCTCTAGAGACATATAGACACAGTCTCAATTTGCTACCCATGAAAGGCAAAGGGATACAGTGGAATCACCCCTGGTCTTTGAGAGAGATCATTTGTGAATCTTGGCTATTTTACTTATTAGTCATAAGAATTTACATAATGCATTTTATTTCACTTAGTGACAATTCTCTCTTCAGATAAAAAAAGGAAGTGGGTAATAGCACCTCAGATGATTGTTAATAGGACTAAATTAGATATATAATATGATAGCAGTTATTTGATAATTAATAGCTATTATTATAATTTTGGTTAAGCTCCATATGTTTAAAGTTAACTGAGGAGTATATTCTATATGTTACATGTTAGCTTTTTTTTTTACTAGCTGATTCTTATAAGATTTAGATTTCAGTTGTTTCACAAGCTGTGCCTCTTCTTTTTTTTTTAAATACTGGTTTATTTACAAAATTTGAATACAATGATTTTGAGAATAGATTCTTCTAATTTCTCTCACCTCCCCACCCATCAAATCATACAACCCCATGATTAATTCCCCCTTCACCCCTGCAATATAACTTAAATGGGTAAAATACCTGGATATAGCCCATAACTGAACAGAAATGGAACACTTTAGGAGAACATGGTACAATTAAAGAAAAACTGAAGAATAATTTATGCATTTGTATTGTGGTGTTGGCAAAGATTATTCAGTATGTCGTGAACTACCAAAAGAGCAAACAAATCCAGTTTGGAAGAAGCATGGCCACGATGCCCCTTAGAAATAAGACTGGTGAGACTCGTGTCATCCACTTTGGGCACATTGTAAAGAGGATCTTGTCTCAAAAGACATCATGCTTGAAAAAGTGAAGGGTGAGTGAAAAAGAAGAGGTTCACAGTGAAACAAATGGATTAATGTAGAGATAACAAAAACGGGCTCAAGCACAGAAGAGATTGTGAGGGTAACACAGGATTGAGGAGTCTTCTGTTCTAATATGCATAGGGTCGCTATATTCAGAGCCATCTTAATGAAACCTGACAATATGTGTGTGTATAAGTTAGATATTTACACAGATATCGTTCTTAAAGTAAAGCTCCAGAGTGAAAACTAATAACGTAAGTTTGACTGACTTAGGAAATTTGAGGAAAGACATAAATTACATTTTTCTTCCTTCCAAAGAAGTGAAACTCTTTTTTTTTTTTTTTTTGTAAGTTATAGTACTGTGTCTACTCTCCTTACCTTTATTGCTGGTGTCACTCTCGAAGCAGGATCAACAGATACTTTTTAGAGATTTTCTTGGTATCAGATTCTTATATTTCCCAACAGACCTGCCTTGGAAGAAGTGAAATCATGATTTTCCCTAGAAGTGAGGACACTTGGTCTTATGCGTTTTGAACAAGTTAAGGAAGGACCAGTCTCTAGAAGAAGGCAGCATAGTTGCTAAGCTAGAGATTCCATTAAGAAGGAGAAAGATATACTGCACTGAAACAGATGAGGAAGAGGACTGTTTAAAAGGGATATATGATTAGGTATTATTGTCATGACAGGAGTCCAGAATGACGGCTGAATAGTGGAGTGGACTTGGGGGAGGGATTGTATAACAATTAAAGAATTTTTCTTTTACTTTCCAAGGAGAAGAGCAAACTGGCGAGGAGGTTGGGCAGGGAGAAAAGTGCAACAATGAATGAATGGAAATCCAAAGTCTCTGTAAACTTTAATTAAAATTAATAATTTTAAAAAATGACAGAAAAGGGAGAAATACTCTTAGTGAGATGGATGGAAACAATGGCTATCGCAATGGACTGAAAAATAACTCTGAGTGTGAAAAGGTGCAGAACTGAGCATCCTTTTTTTCTGTTGTATGTGGGGTGCATAGGAGTCAGATCTTCTCTTTGAGTTGTAGTTGATTTGATGACATACAACATAAACAAAGGATCAGTTAGGATGGTGATTCTGCTGCCTTTTGTATGTATGCTCCTTGATTTACTTTTTTTGCTCTCTTGAACTTGTTCAGCATTTCTTAAGCTAAAGGAACTGAAGAACAAATTCAAATTCAAGTTGAAATACTTAAAGGTGCATTGGGCAGAATATTGAATGACCCAAGAGCATTAAAAAAAGATGGAAAGAGTATACAGAGTCATTGTACCAAAAGGAATTGGTGGACACAGAATAATTTCATGAAACAACATATGAGCAAGAGCCTGTGGTGATGAAGGAAGGAGTTCAAGCTGCTCTGAAAGAATTGTCTAAAGAACAAGGCCCCAGAAATTGATGGCATACTGATTGACATATTGCAACAAACAGGCACTGCCCTGGATGTGCTCACCAAGTTGTGCCAAGAAAACTGGAGGAAAACTACCCGACCAA